TAAATATTAATAATAATAATAAGCAGTCTTCATAAAGCTCTCATTGTCCTTATAACGGCCTTCTGTGCCTTAGCCCTTCCCTGTTCCGTCATCACAGCGCCATAAACATATGCCTGCTTGTCGGCCTTGTACAAGTCTTACCATCCCTACACCCCCTCCCCTTTTTCATCATTATACCGTCACTCTATGTCCGTGTGGCCGCCCTCTGTGACTTACCCCATCCCCCTTCCGTCACCATACCACCCTCATGTCGATAGACCCTCCCCCCCCCCTTTTTCAAATGTGTAGTCTCATGACAAAAAACGTGTATGTCTAATTAGGTCTAGAAACGTTTTTATACAATGGAGAACCCCTTCTCTTGTCGCGTCTTTGTATCTTGCTTTTATGGCTGTACAAATAAAATCAAGGTTTTGGGCTTTTGAAAACAGTGCTTTGTGACTTAATTAGATATTGATATTGTTATGACAAAAGCAATTTTAATCAATTGCTCCATACCCATTTATTGTATACCGCGGCAAATCAGACAAAAGTTACACTGGCAATTGACATAGAATCAGATCGACCAAATTTTTGTTAAGTTGAAACACACAAAAAAGTTAGATTTGTTTCCCTCTACTGTAAAATTCCTTTTTTGTCATAATATGTGTTTCCCTTTCACAAGACGGCAGAAATGTGCTCATTCCCCCCACCCTACTGTTCCCCCAGTCCCGGCGTACAACCAGCTGTGTGCTGACCACTGTGCCTCCAACTACCAATGTCTGGAATCCGCGGGCGAGTTCCGCTGTATTTGTAAGAAGGGAAACGTTTACGACACGAACAAATACGCCTGTGTACCACGTGAGTATCTTGACCTTTGTCCTTTACACCCTGACCCTTCATCATCTGCTTCTTAGTTGTGTGTTGTCATCTCTAGTTTGATTTTGCAAGTGCCGATGAATTCTGATTTACCTTCTGAGACAAACTAGACGGATTCTACAGTTTTATTGTAGAAATTCAAATTCTAAATATCGAAAAAAAAGATACACAATGTAATTTCTGTTGTCATAGAAACGGAACATTTTTTTTGTCTCTCCAGAAAAGTTTGCTTTCTGGGCTAGATCTAGTACATTTGAACGTTTTGCCAATGTTATACAAGACATTATCCCCTGACATCTTCCCCTGATATCTTCACATGACATCTTCCTCTGACTTCAACTGCTTGACATCTTCCCCTCATGTCTTCTACTGGACATCTTCCCCTGACATCTTCCCCTGACATCTTCCCCTGACATCTTCCCCTGACATCTTCCCCTGACATCTTCCCCTGACTTCTTCTACTAGACATCTTCCCCTGACTTCTTCTACTAGACATCTTCCCCTGTCCCCAGTGCCTGGGTTCCGTGAGAAATGCACCGCTGTGTGTAGCGCCAACCTCCAGTGTGTGAAAGCCCAAGGAGGCAAAAAGTGCCTCTGTCCACTCGGATTTGTCTACAACAAAAAGACCAAGCACTGTACTCTAGGTGAGATTCTCGCTCTACGTCAGCTACCCACAAGGCAAGGGGAAATAGTAAGGTTAAAAATGTTCTTTTCGCTGTCTCAAAAAGGTTTTGCAAAAGCTTGTGCACTCTTCTTCTTGATGCCAAATACCAGTAGCACCTCCGAATATATAGACATATGACGTAACGTCAAACATAACGACCCTCCTGGAGGTATGGCAAAAAGCAGAAGTGCGTGGAAACATCTGATTTTCATATCAAAATTTTTTTAATGCCATGGAAATGTTCGTGAAAATGTCCCCTAAATAACTATTCTTTAGGTAAATGTTGGTGGGGCACCTAGAAATCTTGTTTTGGGGCCAAATTATGCAAATTGGGGTTATTGCATATTGTAGTACCTGGACATTTCCTGAACAATATCTAGAAACGTATGTAAGCCTTGCTACTCCCTGAAGCTGTCTTTTTTGTCCCAGTGTTTCCGCGAAAGCACGTCATGTTTTCCAGTCGGTTCTTACCTGTATCGGCTGTTTTCTCATAATTCAATTTTTTCGCACATTATCCCATTTTTCTGCCGTGTTTCTTGTTCAATTTCAATGTAACTTTCACAGGATGCCAACAACACCTAGTTCCAAATGTCGTCTTCTTGAATTTGTGATTATAGGAGTAGCTTTTGATTTATGGGCTTAGAAAGCATGGCAACAATCCAATTGTAAGTGTCATAAAATAAAAACCAAAGCATATATAAAAAAAACCAACTATCCAAATTTAAGAGCTATATATTTACTGTTGGCATGCCTATTTAGAAGTGAATCATTTAATAAATAAGGGAATAAAATGGGATTGAAAAAGGTATACAAAATCCAATATGGCCGCCGTTTCCATAGCAACCGATTCAAAATATACTATTTGAACTACAGATTTCAAATCCCCAAATAGCACACAATGTCCCACAGGAAATATGGGCACTCTTGGCCTTGTAATAGCCAAAACTGACCACAGGTGCCCCACCAGCCTTTAAAAATTCTTCCAAAACTGATGACGGCAAAGATATTCAGAAAGATTTTGGAACAACATCGATAGTCTGGTGGTTAGACTACCGGACCCGTTATCGTGAGACTGAAGTTCGGGAGTTCAAGCCTCATTTCAGCCCGAGGCTGTGTCCACAGGAATAGCACTTTACACAAATTTTCTATTTGGCTCTGTCCTTTCGGAGACGGACGTTAAACTCGGAGGTCCCGCTGCTTGAATAACCTGTTTGTGTTGATAGAGGCGTTAAACATATACCATTTCATTGTTTTCACAAAGATGTTGGGTGTAAAGAATCGAAACCGTTTCTAGGTTTACTGCTAAACCTTGTCGTGTCTTGTAATAGTTATTATAGATATTTTCTCAATTCCAAGGGCAGCATATTTACCCACGTGTCTCAAAGTTGCATTAGCCCCACCACCCCCACCCCGCCCCTGGTGTATACTCAACACACTAACTGTCAACATACCCTTAACGTTCAACACACTAACGGTCAACACACGAGTGAGGGTGCCTCATGCCTGGTGAATGAATAGTAATAATAATGATAATTATAATAATAAAAATAAAAATAATAATAAGTTAAAAAAAATTTTAAAAAGTATATAGCATTTGTATAGCGCTTAACCCCGCTCTACAGCGACTCTATCCCCTAACACTCTAGTATTACCCCAGTAGACCACAGAATACTCAGAAACGTTCTCAGCTTCCAGGCAAGCATACAGTGCAAGCAGCTGATTAAGCGCTCAAATAAACACATTGACAAGAAGACGAGGGCGTCACCGAGCATGATCCCCCTCCGCTTCCATCCACAGACAAGGGTAGTTGGCGGGTGCTCTGGGGGGGGGGGGGTTTGCTTCTTCTTTCCTATCAAATATCTATCGTCCTTATCTCTCCTCTTCCGTTTTTGTGTATGCTACTCTCTTGAAACACAGTTATCTTTCGGCACTTATATGACCTTAGTGTGTTGCAAGTGCCGTAAAATTCTTACTAAAACTAAAATCCACAGACAAAATGTGTGGCAAGCCTGTGGACCTCTTCTTCCTCATCGACGCCTCCGACCATGTGGGCGACGCGAACTTTGCCAAGGAGTTGGACTTCGTTACCTCTGTAGCACGTAAGAAGAATGAGTGCAAAGACAGACAAACAGACTGACGGACAGACTAACAGACCGACAGACAGACAGACTGACAGATAGACTGACAGACAGACTGACTGACAGACAGACAGACTGACAGATAGACTGACAGACAGACTGACTGACAGACAGACTGACTGACTGACAGACAGGCAGGCAGGCATACAGATAGATAGAATAAAGATAGGTAGACAAGTGGATAGATAGATAGAGAGAGAGAGAGAGAGATAGATAAAAAGATAGATAGATAGATGGATAGACGAGAGAGAGATAGATAGATAGATAGATAGATAGATAGATAGATAGATAGATAGATAGATAGATAGATAGATAGATAGATAGATAGATAGCCACTGACCCCAAACACCCAACGTTCGTTCTCCAGAGGGTTTTGATGTGGACAAGGGTACTGCCAAGATTGCCGCCATGACTTACGGCTCTCAAGACAAGAAATTGTTCTGCTTCAACACTCACTCGACCAAGGGAAAAGTCATCAATGTATGTATCGTGACGACATCACAGTTTATTGTGACGTCATCAATGTTTGGATCAGGCGTTGCCACGTCATAACCGCATGTTGTTACGTAACCAGAATACGTGTTTTAGTGTCATTGTGCGTTTTGATATGCTCCGTTTACGTTTACTGTGTCGTCCTTAGTGTGTGTGTGTTGTGATGTTAATAATAATAATAATAATAATAATAATAATAATAGATAGTATTTGTATAGCGCAAATCCCCGCTCAACAGCAGGCTCTATGCACTTTACACTATATTATTACCCCAGCAGACCATAGAACACTCCGAAACATTCTCAGCTTCCCGGGAAGCATACAGTGCAAGCAGCTGATTAAGCGCTTAAACACTAACATACTGACAAGATCTTTCGCTGTATATAGCCGGGTACCCATTCCCACCTGGGTGAAGTGAGGAAAATTCGTGTAAAGTGCCTTTCCCAAGGACACAACGTCGGGTCCCTGACGGGATTCGAACCCACGACCTTACGGTTGCGAGTCCGAGAGCCTAACCACTAGGCCACTGACGCCACAAATGTTCACCATGTGTGTCGTCTACTGTCCTCCTTCCTTGTGTGTAATGTGACGTATGTTTGCACACAACTACACGTGACATTAACAACATAATACTCATTATGTATCGGTGATAGTGCTTTAATGTTTAAGTGGGAAGTTTGATGATGATGATTTTGAAACCTTAGAGTTAAAAAGTTGGGTCGTGTTTGTATCTTCTTTTAAAATTTTCATTGATTAACTTATTAACTGAAAGAGAATTCTTCAGTACTTTTATTTCTCACTCTTTATTGTCAACAATGATGATGATGATGATGATGATGATGATGATGATGATAATGATGATGATGATGATGATGATGGATATTGTAGAGGAATCAGGCTTCTGGGTTTTCAAAAAAATATATAATATGAGTTTTCCTTTTCAGGACACAACTGGGCCATCTACTTGCTTTTTTTTTAAAATGATGATGATGGTGATGATGATGATGATGATGATGATGAGGACGACTAATATAATGCTTCCTCCCTCCCCCTCCTATTGCAGGCTTTGAAAGGTGCCACGTACACCAAAGGAGCCGCTACGTTGGACTACGGACTCCACTACGCCCGCACCAACATCTTCACCACCGAGTGCGGCGTGCGGCCAGATGCGGGCAAAGTGGCGGTGGTCTTCAGCGCCGGCACCTCTAGTGAACGTGAGTGGATGTATGTGTGTGGGGGGGGGGGGGGCAAGCTAATTTGTCTTATACACCAGTTGGTTGTTTATCGTGTGTTTGTTCGTAGCCTATACCGTGGTGCAGGGTGAGCAAAGCAATGATGATGATGATGATGATGATGATGATGATGATGATGATGATGCTGTAGGGGTAAAGGGGGAGGGGGCAACCTAGTTTGTTCTATACATCAGCTGGTTGTATATCGTGTATGAATGTAGGGGGGATGACTTAGTTTGTTCTACACACCACGTTGCCTCTGAATTATAAAGTTCTATCTGACTCTTTTGGCTGTTTTGAGTTACTAAGACCATGACGTCAGAAATCAAATGTTCTATCTGCTTTATCTCAATCGTAAGATATAATCGGGATAGTTATCAAAATATTCAAAGATTTGTATTCAGAAAAGCTTGACAAGATGTTAAACTCAAAATCTTTGACGTCAAATTTTTCAAATCTAGGTAAGGAGCAGATAGAACTTTGTAATTCTTAGGTAGCGACCAGTTGTTTGTTTGTCGTGAATGGCTGTAAGGAGGGAGGGGGGGGGCAACCTAGTTTGCAGTTTAGTACAAGAGTTCGTGACAGTGATGTCCCCCAGGTAAGCAAACGGGGACTGCCTGTGCCCACTCTTGGACGCTTAACCTCAAGTGCAAGACATGCACAGTTCAACAGACGGGTGAGTACTTTTTGAGACTCACGTAGACGTGTCTCTGCGGTCAAAGGAGGAAATCCACAAGCTTGCACAGAAATATGGGGGCAGGGTGAGAGCTCAGATTGCTCATGTGAATAGGGGCACACTGGCCATGCAAATGGTTATTTATCATGTTTTGCTGTAAAGGGGGAGGGGGTGGCTGTTTGTTCTATTCAGCGGTTGGTTGTTTATTGTGTGTTAGTTACCGAGTGTCTATAAAAAGAGGATCTGTGTAAAGGGCAATAACTTGGTCATTTTGGGACTAATTTCAACAAAACTTGGAGGAAAACAATCCAAGGTGACGTTACTTTTGCTAATATAAAGAGCATCTAACAATTACTGTTCTCGATTTTTCAAAATTTAAAGACCTCTATCGATCTATTCTCTTTTTCCATCTGCTGACCCCTATGTTCATATATATATAATGTGTGTATGTATGTGTGTGTGTGTCTTAGTCTGTCTGTCTGTCTATATATTCGGTCTGTATGTCTGCCAGTATATTCTGTCTGTGTACCTCCAACTAATAATTCCTTCACCCCCACCCCCTCCAAAAGCGGAGCTGACGTCGGAAGAGGCGAAAAGGTTGCAGAAAACTGGCGTGCAGGTGATCGCTGTGGGTCTTGGAAACAAACTGGACAGAAATGAGCTGTGGGTGAGTATAGCAGATACAGACAGACACGCATACACACAGAAACACGTGCTCACGCACACCAACACGCACGTTTGCATAGATCTACACGAGTACAATCCCACGCTGACGCATTCACACGCTCACGCATACATGCATACCAAAACACGCGCACACACACACA